AGTGAGACCCTGTCTCTAAATGAAATATAAAAAGAGGCCAGGGTTATTGCTCAGTGGTTAGGCACCCCATGGGTTCAATCCCTAGTACTAAAAACATTAAAATAAAAATAGTAGTTATTTTGTATTTGTTTTACACCAGCAAACATATTAAATGCTTTACATTTTAGAGCTATTAGCTCTATGCATCAGAGGAAGAACTAAACCTCTGAATATTAAATAACTTTACTCAGGGTCAGTTGGTTGATTGGTCTCTGGCTCACTGTCTCTCCAATTCCCTCTCCCCCTGACCCCCCACACAGAGGAGTCATTTGGAGATGTCCAACTAAAGGTCATGCATTTAATGAACCATCAACAATTTTGATAAGCAGACACCTGTGTTGTTACTGCTTTTAATCCTGCTGCAACAAGTCAAACCAACAGAGATCCTTCCCACTGATGCCAAGAATAATTTCAAGGTTTCTGAGACACAGAAGGTGGGATCCAGCAGGGACCAGAGAGTTAAGCTCCCCATGAGGAGATAGAGCATCGAGGTCAAAATATAGTTATTGATGGAGACTGTCTTCTTAAGAGATCTGAGTTTTTCCAGCATTAGGATTCCCCAGGAAAGCAATCAGTAATGGCTCTTACTTCACGAAGTTCAAGGTTTGTGGCACCTTAGAGATTGAACACACATAATCACGCTGCTCCACAGACCTCTCTTAACTTCCAGCAGTTTGTACTTGCCAAATCCATCACACTGCTTTGTGAAGCCATTTCAACTTAAAAGGAGGAAAACCCCATGAATTTAGCTCCCTGATCCACAACCTGCTTTTTCCAATCTTGTGTCTTATTTTCATTCCTATATCTTTAAAGGGGTGGGGGTGGGAGTTCTTTGGTATGTCTCTAATCTGTGTCATGCCACGAAGCAGTGAACTGTGAAAAATACCCAAGGAATTCCCAATAAATCATACAGGAGGCAAGCAAAGGGCATGCAGCTATGAACTTAAGCAGATCTGCTTTTTCAACTGGATCTCTGGAATTTTTTTCTAGAGAAATCCTTAGCAGGCCTTGGTTCTCCATGCCCGTTGAGGGGTTTGAGCAGTTCCCATCTGTCCTTTTCTTCTCCAGTCTGTTCTGACACTTGAGTGCATCTGTGTCTCAGGTGTATGCACACCCCTTTAAGACCAAGTGAATTGAACACCAAAAAGGGCAGACTAAAGCAGATTGGCCCTCTGGGTTTGAGTCTCTTTCTGGCTTGAACCTACAATACACTTCTGCATGTGGTGACTAATTACAAAGCCAAGCCCTAAACACCTTTCTTGAAACAAATGCTCAGATGGGAAGAAGTTTCTTATGGGAAAGGTAAACTCCATTCTAAAAGAGGATTAGAGCCCTGCTGGGGACCAGACTTCAGTTTGGCCATTGACATGACAATGACAGGGTACTTAGCATGAGGTCCAATTGATTATTCTTTCACTATCTTTGCAAATGAAAGGCTCAGAAGCATTTATTTCTTAACCATATTCCTGCTTTATTTGAAAATTCTTTGGAATTGCTTTTTGCTCAATGAATTCCCTGGCTCTGGGTTTCATTAAATTGTTTGAGAGTGGGAAAACCAAGCCGTGGTGTGCTGTGCTTTAGAAAAGTATAATTTTCCTAGGGCTGCCGTAACAAATTACTTCAAACTGGGTGGCTTAAAACAGCAGAAGTTTATTTTCTCACAGTTCTGGAGGGTAGAAGTCCGAAATCAAGGTGTCAGCAGAGGTGGTTCCTTCCTGAGGCTCTGAGGGGTAATCTGTTTAGCCTCTTTCCTAGCTTCTGGTAGTTCCTGGCAATCCTTAATGTTTCTTGGCTCATAGCTTATTTCTATCTTCACATGGCTGGAACTCTCTCCCCCAATTCCCATCCCCTTTCTCTCTATCAATTTGCCTGCACCTTTCTCTGAAAAAGACACCAGTCTTTGGATTGAGGGCCCATCCTAGCCTATTCTGAACTTGTCTTAACTTGGTTGTATGTGCAAGCCTCTTACCTCCAAATAAGATCACACTCAGAGGTATCAAGGGTTAATTAGGACTTGGACATACCTTTTGGAGGGACACACTTTCAGCCTAAGGCAAGGAGTAAAAAATCTCCACTCTTTATTTTGTCTTCCTTTCTTCCTTTCTATATTGACTAAAGACACAATTCAACCATTACGCCGTACAAAAATCAAGTTGTCAATATTCACCAAACATTAATGAAAGCATACCGAGGAGGTGATGAGAATGTTCTGTATCTTGATTGTGATGATGGTTCATGGGTACATGTGACTGTCAACTCATTTATATAGTGCTGTATATGTTAACTCATCCTCAATAAAGTTGATAAGAAAATACCCCTCCAACCAGGCACAGTGCCAGGTTTTTATTTCCCTTTGTCCCTTCTATACTCCGCTTTCCCTTGCCACCAGAAAACATGTTGAGCAAAATGATCCTCTCATTTCCATTCAACATTTGAGAAGGGAAAATTAAAATTTCAGCAGAAAAAAACCCCCATATCAATTAGTTGCTTGTTAAAAGATAGAGGTTTTGAAGAATGTTTAGATTATGAACAAGTAACAAAATATCTATTAAAATTATTACATTACACAATTCTTCATCCTCAAGAATAGTTCAAAAACATAATATGGAAAGATCACCCCCTGGAATAATTTTAAATTTTTAATTTTTATTGACATGTGTAAGTATTTATGGAGTACAGTGTTGTACCTACTTAAGCTAGTTCTAAAAATCTTCTTAGTTGCTAGTACAGCTGAACCATATATTGGGTTCTAATAAAATTAACTTATTTTGAGACTTAAGTGTACCTTCACCCACAAAGAAGTGAGTAAAACCAGCAAAGAAAGAATGCCACCAACACACTGTGTTAAGAATGTTTATCAGCCAAAATTGAATTTGGTTGTCAGCCAATTTATATTCCTAAAAGTCTCTTGAGATCAAGTTTCAAAGCCAAAAACAAAAGTGATGATCCACATGCATTTAGGATTTGATGTTGGAAGCTTCTTTCAAATGCCACAGCTAAACAGCAACAGGGGTTTGTTTTAGGAATGACTCATGGGACCCTGCTAACCACATCCATATTGCAACATGATTTAAGATTCTTAGACACCCTTACCTTTCACCTGCCCTGCTAACTTGGGTGCCATGAAAGCAGAATGGTTGACATTTGGAAACTGTACTCACACCAGCTCAAGAAATAAACATCTAAATGAAAACTCTGCTTATTCCAAACTCCTGCTTTCTGAAATCTAAGAGAAGATAAATGAAACACTAGGAAACATAGAACACGTTGCTAATACACAGAAAATGAGAGGATGGCTAGTGTTGCAAATGGCTTTTTGTTTTCTGTTTAATGCAGATGCTGATAGAGACAGGAATTTTTTTCCTCTTCATTGCATTTGAGTTTTTAAGGTCACAATTGGTGAGGGATAGTGAAATTTAGCACACAAGTGGTGAAAAAATGAGAAAGATGAATAAGGGTAGTTATTTGGATTTCTAAATATACTGTCAGAAGAAACTGTCACAGATAGACCTTTCTACTTTCCGGCTAGTACGTTATACATGCTGAGTATATGTTCTACGCATGAACTATACGTTCAACTCCTCTTTTTGTGCTTTTTTGGTTTTGGTCACAGGTTTTGATAGATGGATATGAAAACTACAACTGGGTTCCTAGAGAGTTCATGGTTCCAATCCTGGGCAATGTGAAAATGATACAAAACATTAAGGCAAAATACTTGCCTGTTAGTATATAAATATAATTAAAGGTAAAAAAAAAATTCTTGTGTTCAAAGACTCTAGGTTAACCTCCACAGATATTCATCAATTGCGGTTTAGATGCCTCTGCAGTTGTATTAATTCAAGGAGATTCTGAAATAGGAATATGAAGATACATTTTCAGTTTAGCTGCAAAAATTCCTAGCTTACAATCAAGTAGCTTAGGCTTGGAGCAGTTTGTCTATGTACTGTAATTAGTATTCTTAAGTCTTGTAAAAGTCCTCCACACATTTTTTGTGATTAGAATGGGGTCCCTTTTTCAAGTTTTAGGATCTTGGAGACAGAACACTTGACTTCTATGGGTGAGTGAGATGCTGTGAACTACTTATCCACTAAAAACATGGAAATGATATCAGAGGAACTACAGTCAGTTTGAGAGACATGGGCAGGATGAAACAAAAATCAGTGATGCTGACTACAAGTTGGGAGCCAATCAGATATAAATCTGAAATATTATATGGCACTCAATCAGAAAGTTCAATATGATTTAGGACTGTTTAAGAAATGAGATTATATAACAAACAAGGGCAAAATAGGATGCCTTAACCTGGAATATTGAACCTTGGGACTGGAAAGAAACAAGTAACTGGAGAGAATCCAGAGAAGAACATGAACAATGATGGCTTTAAAGCAAAATATGAACTTTATAGTGTAGCCAAACCACAGAGTCAGACCCAAGGGGCATGATAAAAATCTACAAATAACTTGGGGGTCTAAACACCAAGGGTAAAGAGGAATTTTGGCTGGAGATATAAAAAGTTTCAAGGGATAAAGTTAAGGAAAGGAAAATTTAGGTTAAGCATCAGAATATATCCTTTGATGGTAAGATGTTTGTATTTATAGAATAGACTCTCAAGAAAATATAAAAAAAATACTGATGTGTTTTCTAGGATCCCAGATAAGAGGATGTCAGACCAAGGATTCTAGAACTTTCACTGGAATATTCTTGGGCCTTGTCCAGATGGAATAGATAGCATCAGTTTTTTTAAACCCTGAATTACTCTGATAATTATGATGGGAATGGATAGCAAACAGTGTTCTGCTCTTTAGTAAACTCTATCCCAAGGCTTTAATTGAGGCTCTGAGAACAAAAAACCATAAACAAGCATGGTACTACTCTCAACAGCAAATGCTCTAATAATGAAGCAAAGTCTTAGAGATCTGTTTTGTTTTAAACACACACACACACACAAACACACACACATATATTTTTAAAACCATTTATTTCTAGACTCCCAGTTATGTTGCTTCTGAAGCTAGCTGATGAATTATGATTCTGGATATCAATGTAACACAATCCCCAGCTTTTGAAATTGGTAAGTAAAACACATAGGTCTTCCTTAAATGAATTTGGCATAACCTGGCAGTCAATCAGAAAGGGTAATGTGAGTTGAGTCTATATAAGCAAAAGGATTATATAACAAAATAAAATAGAACACCCTGCCTGAAAATGAATTAATATGCTGTAAGCCATGATGACTGCAATATAAATCTAATAGCAACCCGGTTGAAAAGCAAAATAGTTCTTAAAATACAAAAAATGAAAATCCAAATAAATTTCTTACAAAATCTTTCCAGAACAGCCATCACTTTTCTAACTGGGTTTTAAAAAGCACACATACTTACACTGGATGATTATTTTTAAAGAAGCTTCAGCTTAATATAATGATTATAGCCACTTGATGCCCAAAGAAGTTTCAATCAAGGATGGATGGAATATATCATACATATTCCCAAATGATATTAATGAAGCTGAAAAACTCCTGTTGCCTACTGATGTCCTAGCTGTTGTGATGTCATAGTACAATCTATTACATGTTTGTGGTGATGTAGGTATGAACAAACCTGTCCTGTTTTTAGTATAAATAAAACCACAATTATATACAGTACATAATACTTGATAATTTTAAGTGACTATGTTAGGGGTTTATATATTTACTATTTATTATTATTTTAGAGTATATTTCTTTTTATAAAAAGCAATTCAATGTATTCTGTGTTACACTGGCCTCAGCCTCATACATCTCATGTTTATTTTATCTATTGGTTGCATCAAATCCATGTTGAATGACTGATCTGTACCATCTAGGTTTATTTAAATACACTTTATGATGCTGACACAACAATAAAATTGCCTATCAGTGTACTTCTTAAACCATGTCCCTTGTTACACCACACATGAATGTATTTAAAACAGTTTATCTGTTGTTCCTGACCATGAAGCAAGTTCCAGGCTAATGGTGGGTGTCAAGATCCATTGGATGATGAATTAACTGCCATATGTCTGTTCCCAGCCTTGGGAGTCCCAATAGAAGAGTTCCTCTGCTCATCCATGACCAAGAATATATGCCTTTGTGTCTTCAGGGCTTTCATATTAGCCCTCCATAATCATGGCAGGGTTGCATTTTCAATCCCATATTCATCCTAGGGGCTTACAGAAATAGAATTTACATTAATTATAAATTACATTTGCACAATTACCTTGAATTATAAGTGGTCCTGTGTGAAATATGACTGTTAACCATCAACTTACAATTCCAAAATTCAAGGAGGCATAACCAGACTATGATATCCCAGTAGTGCACACTACTATATATATATTTTTTAAAAAGACCCACCCACTTTTACTTCTAATGTGATTTGTTTTAGGAAGGAGGAAAGCCAAACATCTCCAATCCCCCAAAGGTAATTTGGTTTGTGTAGTCAGGCAGGGCTGTAAGGTTTTAAATTCTCTGCCTGTTAGTAGCACACTTGATTGACAGTCACTGAAATTACTTAGAAGGTTTAGGATGAGAAGAAATGGACAGCTGTGGGAGAGGGTGATGGGAAATTAGAATCTCATTGTCTGTTGTCTTCAAGAAATCTACAGCACATTAGCACTCAAGGAAGGAAATCCCCAGTGCTGACTTTCCCCTGCATTCACAAAAAACAAGTGTTCTCCACAGCCATACTCAGGTGCCACACACACTTCTGGAGGCAATAATTTCTCCTGCTATAATAAGATTTCATGACATGCCTCCTCCCAGGTAGTCCAACACTTAGGACACCAAACATGCTTTTTAAAAAGTGAGTAAATTATCTGCCCTCGAAAGTGTCATAGAGAATCATGGAAGTCTTTCAAAATCAGACAATTCTAGTATATACACCAGATGAATGAAGCACCTGAATTTATAACTTAATTGTAAGATTCTTTTCTTAATAAAAGAAATGGTAAAGTCACCTTTCTATTTAAATAAAATTCTCTTCACCCCAAAGTGGTGAAAGATCACACACACACACACACACACACACACACACACACAGCATGCAGGCATTTCCAAAGTCCTGTCTACTCTTTGTTGAGATGGTTATAAAATGCCTTCCAAAACAAAAAAAGTGTTGCATCAAAAAGCCCTACACGCCCCGGTCAGGGTTTGGGGCTTTGCTTTGCAGATTGTAGAGGTCGGACAGCAGAAGAAACTATACCCAAACATTTCCAAGCCAGGAATATTGTTTCTGCGGCGTTTTCCTGCTACCCAGGACTGTGGTTGCTGCGCGCTGTGCTGTTATACCGGTGTGGAACCTGGTGATTGATGACTTTGTCAGCTCCAATCTCCATGAAATCTAGGACGACGACGCAGGACCTAGCGTCTGTCCTGTCGGGCTTCACTCACCACTCCTCCTAGAGTACATTTTCAGCACGTGTTCACGACCCTTACACGGGGTGGACTTCTTCTGCTACACTTCCCTTAGTAAGTCCCCTCCAGTCCAATAATCGGCAGTCACAGCATTTGAACTACATCTTTATCCTTTTATAAAACAAAAACAGCAGGAGTGGAGGCAGGAGAGAGAGGGCAGGAGATTTAACTCTAACTTCAGAGCAACCTTCTGGGCTGCCCATCTGACACCAGTGGGTGGGGTGCAATCTGACACTTCTCTTCCTTTCCAGAAACGTGAGTGGATCTGGCTCTCCCTTCAGTCTGTGGGGGAAGGGAGACGGGGTGGGGGGTGGGAGAAGGTCTGCATTTCCGTCCTCACGACTTTCTCCCCTGGAGACCACGTATTAGTGCTAGCTGCTCGCTCAGTGCGCTGCTCCCAGGTTTGGCGTCTGGAAATCCTCACGTCTTGCTTTCTCCTGCTCCTGGCTCCGCCCCGGCTCCAGACCCTGCGTTCCTCTGACCCTACGCGTCCCAGCCACCTCCTTTCCGCCGCCTCCAGCACGAGCGTGCGGGGACATCTCCACGCCTGCCCTGGGCCCACGGCTGGCTGTGAATGTCAAGTGTCGCTCTACAGTGGAACATGGGCACTGGCTTCTGAGGCTGTCTCTGGAGCTCCCCCCTTTCCGAATAGCGCTGAGGGCAGCGGGGAATTCTCTACGGTCATAGTCACTGAGCCCTTGGAAGGCCCTGGGCGCAGCGCGCTGGGTGTCCCAGTTTGCAGCAAGCCCGAGATCCCGCAGGAACATTGGGCTTGGAGACACTCTTGAGCATTCCCAGTAGGAAGAGCAGGCGCAGCAACCAAGAGGAGCCCAAAAGCACAGCCTCCAGCTCCAGTACACCGCGAGGGTTCCCTGAAGGCGCAGCTGGGGCGCTCAGCTCCGGGGCGGGAGGAAGATCACACTTCTTGGTGAGCGCAGCAGACGCGCCCTGGCGCACACCCAGGCCTCCTCCCGAGCGCTCAGGACAGTCCTCTGGCCACGAGGAGGAGCTTGCTGGAGACTTAGAGGTTGTCCAGAGCTTGCGAGCCGGAGCGCCGAGTCTCCCGCCTGGTTTCGAAGGGGGAGTGGCGCTGGCGGGCTGGAGCTGGGAACCAAGCAAACGCTGGACCTTCCTCTTCTTCCTTACCATCTTTGCTACTGGGGCTCCACGGGAGGATTCTAAAGGTTTCAGGAGGGACCTGGACCCTTTTTTCCTAGAAGGCTGGTGATGGATCTCCAGCTTCTGTCCGGGCAGGAGCACTTGGAGTGCGCTGGTGGTGCGTGAACCCGGCACTGCCCTCCACCGCCCTCAACCAGTCCGTCCTGGCAGCTTTTCCCCAGCTGCCTTCCTTTCCTAGCCAAAAACCTCCAACATTCCAGGAGGGAGAGAGAAGGTGGCCCTCGGGCACAGCCCCTGGAGATGTCCGCCCAGAGCCTGCTCCACAGCGTTTTTTCTTGCTCTTCACCCGCCTCGGGCGGTGCAGCCTCAGCCAAGGGCTTCTCCAAGAGGAAGCTGCGACAGACCCGCAGCCTGGACCCAGCCCTGATCGGAGGCTCCGGGGGCGAAACAGTCACAGAGGGCGGTGCGCGGGGGTCCATAGCAGGCCGCCTTTACTCCCCGCAACCCCTAGCGGAGGGTCTTTGCCCCCGCTCTGCATCTTCTGCCAGGAGCCAGCCATCCCGGACCACCAGGCTCCCGCAACCCAGACCTCTTTGCTCGTCCTTCTCCATGCCCAGCACCCCGCAGGAGAAGTCCCCTTCGGGCAGCTTCCACTTTGACTACGAGGTCCCCTTGGGTCGCGGTGGTCTCAAGAAGAGTGCGGCCTGGGACTTGCCTTCTGTCCTGGCTGGGCCAGTCAGTGGCCGCAGCTCTGCCAGCATCCTCTGCTCCTCTGGGGGAGGCCCCAATGGCATCTTCACTTCTCCCAGGAGGTGGCTTCAGCAGAGGAAGTTCCAGTCCCCACCCAACAGTCGCGGCCACCCCTACATCGTGTGGAAGTCTGAGGTAGGGACCAACGCCATGCGTCCTCATGGCCCAAAGCTGGATGCCACAGGCAGTTCTAGGCCACTACCTTTAATCCCATCCCATTTACAGAGCCAGGCAGCAGCTGAGGGGTTTGCATGGTGTAACTGTTTCTACTTAGGCTGATTAAATGGTGCCTGGAAATGGGACATCCTTAGTGGTCACTCACCACACATGTGTCCTGTAGGATTCCTTGGCTCTTCTTTGGAGCAGTCAGGGGAGCTGGAGGAAGAGATGGTCTTCTGATTTCCAGTTTGTGCTACAGGCAAAGGATTGTATTATCCCTTCACTCCATGCTGATATTTTTTGGAACTCGAAAGATCTACTGCTGTTTGTAATGATTGGATGAAATATATTTTGATTAATGTCTGCCATCAGCTGTAGAATTTAGGAACATTATTCTGAAAGATGTTATTGATTATGTGTTTGGATGGCAGTGTGGAGTAACTACTAGGATTCTCTAGTTTTGATTTCTTTTCCCTAAAGGTGTAATTTCAGAAATATATGATACTGAATAGTTTCTCTGCTTAGGGGTATGAAATATCACAGAAATATGCCCAAATTCCACTAAGGACAATTAGTAGTTAGTGGAATAGACATGAATCAGGAATCAATAATAAATAGGGAACTTGGAGTTATTTGATACTCTTAAAATGTTCATTCTCTGGTTGAGTGGAGAATAGAGCTAGCTATTGGGAAACTGTGGTTGATGGGTACTTGGAAAGCAGCATGCTTTTAGAGAATAAATAGTAGTTGGTTTAAAAATGACCAACTCTGATTCCTTTCAGTCCACAAACTCTATAGGTTTGCCCCAGATCTGGTTCCATAAGGGAAGGAAGATCCTGTCAGTTGTAATTAAATATTTTAAAGCACAGTTAGCATTACAGAAATGAAATTAAATACAATGTAATTGTTGGAGATTTAGGCTAAATAAAGGAGACACAACCAAGCAAAATTGCATCCAAGTTCATACCCAGTTCTATTAACATGAGATAACTTAGATTTCAGCTTTAATAGACTACCTTAGAAAAATGAGCATTATGTATCAGAAATATTAGCATCATATGTTATTAATGTTAGTTACTGTGTCAGTGTAACTGCTGCTGTTGCTGAGAGGGTTATGGATTGCAAAAAACTAACAAGCTTTGCTAACTGTGCTGCCCATTTTGTTGAGGAAAAGAGATAGTTGAAAGAAAAATTGAGACAGAATAGGTGTTATCTCCAAGCCAGTATTAGAGGACCAAAAACTGAAATATTGAACTCTTGGTTTCTAGGAGAAGCTGGATTCCTGCTCTGTTTCAGAAGCACATTTTGTCAGATTAATCTATAGGAGTTTAGAGCAAGAGAGAAATGCAAAAACAAACCAACATAAGCTAGTCACTGACATTTCTGTTTAAAATCAATTACATCATTAAGAATGTTCCTAATTTTTCTTTGCAAATGTGCATATTTGGAATATGATATATAGATACAGATACTGTTCACTGCTATTATGACCAAAAACCATTTGATCATGGGTGATGCCACTTGTTGCAAATTATGAACCCCCTTGTTATAAATTATCTTTTTTATCTATTAAAATCTCATAATTGATGGATGTGTATCTGAACAACAATACTGGATGACTCCTGACTGTTCCATATAGTATTGGACCATCTGCATGGAGCTCATCTACCATATTTTCACCTTTTTGCAGTGGTTAAAGCTAAGTACAAAGCCATCTAGCAAAAGAACAAAATTTTCTCATAAAAGGTTTATATGTGTATGTGTGTGTGTTTGTGTGTATGTGTGTGTGTGGAGGCAGTTAAGCAGAAATCCCTTTATGTTTCAGGCAGATATGGAGTGATTGGACAGAATTCTGGCATGAAGGTCCAACACTGGTTCTGTTTAGTAGAGGCCAAGATATCCTAACATAACCCCTGGGTCTGGAATTTAAAGGCCTGGATTACCTTTCAAAGGTTTAGCGCCCTGGAATCTTCTCAAAAACCAAGAAATTCATCCTATTGGGCACTGTTTGTACTTCTCACTTGCAAACAAGCTGTGTCTTTTGTCCTAAAAGAGAATCTTTACTAATGATGTCAAATGTGCAGCAAATGAGTCCCTTGCAATGTTGCTTAGAGGCCCTAGAGGGGAGATCTGGTTCATACAGATATGATTCTTACAATTTTCTTGGTTTTCTGGCTCAGGGTTTCTCAGCCTTGGCACTATTGACATCTGAGTGATTCTTTGTCATGGGGGATGTCTTGGATATTATAGGATGTTGAGCAGCATCCCTGACCTCTACCCACTAGATGCCAGTAGCACTCTTCTTTACCAGTATGACAATGAAAAATGTATCTAGATACTGCTCAATATCCTCTGGGGATGAAAATCACCCAAGTTGAACAGCTGTGCTAGTGAGGTTGAATACAGTGCCCTATGCTGGCCATCTAGTGAGTGCCCATAGAAGGGCTGTCAGCTGGTCTAAAGTTTCCCGGGGCCATCCTCTGCCTCCCAAACCAGGAGGATCACTCTGGAATCATGCTTGTGGATTCCATGTTCTTCTAATAGTTTGTTCAAATTTTCTGTTTTTCTTCCTGAATCCATAGGAAAACTTGAGATTTCTCTTTCAGGTTTATCTAGTGATGGATCACATCCATTTCCATTTAGTTCTTTTAGCAGATTCTCTGTTTTTAAACCAAATTGTTCACATAACAGCTCCCATTCCCAAGACTCTCATAAATGCCAGTAACTCTATTACTTGTGCTCACTTAAGGCTCATAAATGACCATTTTATAGCTTAAACCTAGGAGGTGTTTGACAAAGTCAGGTATAACTCTACTAATATTTCCTTACTATGTGTTTAAGGACTACTTTAATAAAATTTGATTTATGCACTTTTGGGTAAAATATCTATCAAGTAAAAAAAAGAGAAGACAAAGGGATATATGGTATGTGATGACTCAGTTAGTACATGTTTCCCCATCTTGTTGTCTTAGCAGCCAGGCTCTGTTCCTGACTCTGATCACAGATAAGATGATAAATCATTTCAATCCCAGGATCCTCCTAATTATTGTGAACCAGAGCTAGGATTATGCCAATAACTGATTGGGAGTTTGCAAGCTTCTATAACCAATGATTAAAATGATTTCTATATATCCCCAACTTTTTTACTTTTCTTCATTCAGGTATTTCTTGATCAGAAGTATTTCTCTACATACTAGGAATACAGAGAGGCTGCAATATGGGTCAGCACTTAAAGAGCTCCAAGTCTATTGAGGTGACATGTGAATTGATCAGTAGGCATGGTGAATGAGCACCATGGCACACCAGAGGAGGCAAGTGATGACTCACTGTCCTCTGGGAGGTCCTAGATGTCTTCACTATGTAAGGAACATTTGAACTTGATTTTCAATGAAGACTGCCATTTACAATGAAAAGAAGGAAAGTAATTTCTTGATGAGATAGAAAAGAGTGGACATGCAAAAAGGCACAGAGATGTTGGTAAGGGCAGAGTGTCCACCAAAAATTTATACGAGCTTAAGTGCAGCTATGTGTTAGGAGAGGGAGGTAAGGACACTTGCAATTTAATATATGTAGCAACCAAAGTGTTTCCCAGGTAGTAACATGATTAAACCAGAAATCAGGCATTTTGTGTGTGGTAGGATAATTATGGGCAAGAGTAAAAATGAAATAAGGGCCAAAATACATTCCATATCCTTTAAGGGGCCCCTTGGAATCACATCTGCAGAGAGGTAAAAAGATATAGATACAGGGTATCTCTGAAGTGAGAAGTTTAACATATCTGGAGTATCAGGCTTAGTTTGCTATCTGTTGGTGACCATGTTCACCAGATAGGGGAGTGGATTTCACAAAAACAAAACAAAACAAAACAAAAACTTGCTGTGCAATTATTAAGCAGTTGTCCTCTATATTGTATAAAACAAATGACTCTAAATCTGGAGGTGACTTTGTCCTGTGTACATTTGACAATATATTATGACATTTTGGGATGTCATGACTGGTGGTAATATATTAGTTTCCTATCCCTGCTGTAACACATAACTACAAATTTAGTGGCTTAAAGCAAGAAAAAAATGATTATAATTCTGGTGATAAGAAATCCCAATAGCTCTCACTAACCTAAGTTCAAGTTGTTGACTTAACTGTGTTCCTTTTGAAGCTTTTAGGGTCTGTTGCCTTTCTTTTCTAGTGGCCCCCTTCCTTCATCTTCAAACTCAGCCATGCTGTGTCTCTTTGATTCTCTCTTTTACTCTCTTCAGGACTCTTGTGATTACATTGGTCTTACCTGAATAATCCAGGTCAATCTCACTATTTTAAGGCCAGCCAATTAGTAATCTTTAATTGCATCTGCAACTTTAATTCCCCATTGCCATGATGAACTCATAGGTTCCAGGGATTTGGTATGAACCCTTTTGGTGGGACATTATTCTGTATACCACAGGGGAGTAGCTGCTTCCATCTAACTGGAATGCCAAGGATGCTTTGAAACACCATGCAATGTTCAGGACAGTTCCATGAAGAATAATCACATGCCCAATCAGTGCCAGAGCTGAGAAACTATAGTAGAGAATGGGGGTACTTGGTGATTTTTAAGTCTGAGAGTGTAAAGTGATCAGATATGTGTTTTAACAGGACCAATCTGGTGTCTGGGGGACCATAGTTTAGAAACATGAAACAGATGGATACTCAGAGGTGGGAGGCATGGGGAGATCATGCCAAGAATCCCATTAACAAGTGGTAATTCCCATATGAACAGACGACTCTTATTTCCATATTCTCCATTTTTGCAAATAATTTTCTTGTATTGTTGAAGCACTTGAAAGCTGAACTCTTACTCATCTTTGTATTCTTAAAAATCTGGCTTATGCTCCAAGGTTTTAGACCAGTGGTAAACCTGGATAGAGTTTGTACCCCAGGGCACATATGGTAATGTCTGTTGGTACTGGGCAGAGGGTTACTTTTAGAATACAGTATGTAGGGGCCAGAAATGCTACTAAACATCCTAAGGGAAAGCCCCCATTAAAAAACAAGTATCTTCCAAATATCAGTAGTGCCAAGGTTGAGACATCCTGGATTCAAGAAACTTTTGCTTTCTAGTGCCATCTTTTCTCACATTTATGGCTCCATTATTTGTAATTTCTTTCTTCTTACCTGGTACATGTCAACCAAGGCTTTGGATGGGGAAAATATACCTTTCAAAAGGTATTGAGGATATGAAAAAATATGGGTGTCTGA